GTTAACAATCCTCTGGAGCCAGCCTCGTGTAACCTCCCGGGAAGCCAGTACCAACCAGGAGGGACACGGATCCAATAAACATGTGGTCGCGTCAGCTGTCCCAGGATCCTGTCCATGTCCTCGGGAGCCACAGGATCGAACTCCTCCCAGATAACGCTCTCAAGACCTGCCTCAGTCATCCCGTCCAGACATACCCAGTCAGAGGCCAGCCCTTCCCGAATCTGAGCGATCTTGTCATGTAGATACTGCACAAAATCTTCAGCTCGACCCTGCAAGGGGTCATCCTGCGCTCCCAGATGGAGGAGGGAGCGGGTCACCCTAAATAGGGCAGCTGGGCAATTATCTGATGACGCGATAAGAGCGACAAAATAGCTGGATTTCGCCGCTTTTATCACCACTAGGTAGGTCTTAATATGAGACCTCACCAGTGTTCGGTCAGATTCGGAGCGGCTGGTCCTCCAACTGCTCTCTAGGTGTCTTTTCCGGCGCTTCATCTCCCTCAGCTCCTCGGAGAACCAAGGAGCTAGGTGAGTTCGGGGCCGGGCACTATCCCAGGCAGCCACCAGGTCTTCAGCCGAGTCATGAACCAGAATCTCAGGGAATGGCCCAAACTCCATCTGGAACCTATCAGGATCCATCAGGCGCCTGGGGCGGAACCACCTGATCGGTCCCGGTCCCGCCTCCCTGCGGCGGGGTGCAGCGGTTAGAAAGTCTAGTCGAAGGAGCGAGTGGTCAGACCATGACAAGGGTTCGATGACTATATCCCCTGTATCAAGGCCACTCAACCACTGACCAGAGACAAAAACTAAGTCCAGAGTGTGTCCACCCGTGTGAGTGGGGTCATGAATTAACTGAGTAAGGTCCATGGCCGTCATGGAAGCCATGAACTCTTGAGCCACCTCAGACGTTTCGCCGATGGATGGCAGGTTGAAATCCCCCATGATTACAAGTCTGAGGGTATCAACCGCCACCTCGGCTATGACGTTGAGCAGCTCGGGCAGGGCCATTGCCACGTGGCAGGGAGCCAGGTACGTGATCAACAAGCCCATCTGTACTCCACGGCCCCACTTCACAAAAAGGGACTCACATCCGGCTATCTGTGGAACAGTGGTCTCCCTCGGATCCAGACCTTCCTTTATGATAACCGCCACCCCCCCGCCCGTACCCTGAGCCTCGGCTGATGAAATGCACGGAAGCCTGGTGGGCACATATCCACGAGGGGAACTCCCCCCTCCTGGCCCAACCAGGTCTCTGTAATGCCTGCCAGGTCTGCTTCCCCCTCCTGAATAAGATCGTGGATGAGGGGGGCTTTATTAACAACGGACCTGGCATTGCACAACATCAGCCGAAGGCTCAGGCCCTGAGAATCTGGACAGCCTGGGGAACGAGAAAAGCATTGGGGACCGGAGTGCACAATTGCTCTAAGATAGCGAGTGCGCACTCCCCAAACATGATGTGGCCCCCGGCTTCCGCCATATCTGCCCCTCCCACTCACTATGCTGATGGAACAGCCCTCCCTAAGTTGAACTCCAACCCCCTCCCCGACCTCTGGTTCTACATCCCTAGTGTCGCAGCCCTCCGCAGAGGCTGGTCTTGAACCCGGTGGATTTCCCCCAAAACCCACCCTAATCCCCCCCGAACCCCTTAAAATTTTTGTTAAAAACCCATTTTAAAACCCACTTTAAAAAACCCTCAAACTCTTCTTTGCCGCATGCCATCTCTCGGGGCTCCAAAGCCCGTCATCAAGATAGGCCCTCGATAACGAAGAGGGCCAAACCTGCGAGAGGGGGGAATCTCGCAGAGCACGGAGTTCATTCACCGAATACATCTGGACATCAAGGGGAGGTAATGACCCATGACCAATAACCAGGGGGCAATTTTGATGTTATCACAGTCAGAAGGGGTGAAATGAACTAATGAGTTCTCTGTTAACACTCACCACACCTGTCAATTTACCAACTCCAGTTACTGCACCAGTGAACATCGCACATCCAGTCACTATCACTTCACCAATGAATCTCCCAACACCAATGACATTAGCTGGCCCTTTAAATATTGCCATGAGACCTGTGGAAAGCATGCCTTTCCTTCCCTAGGCATTGCCAACCTCTTCCCCAAGTAAAAAAAAAAACTAGAGCAAAAACTTCAATGCAGTACAGTATTAAAAAGAATAGAAAAGTGGGCTGCTGTGTATTGTTTAATGGATTGCTAAATTGGCAAAATGGACAGCTAAATTGGCCACGCCCACCCAGCCAGTCCGGCCTCCCAAAAGTTTGAGGGACTGTGAATTGGCCCAGTTTAAAAAATTTGAGGACCCCTACCTTAGACACTTTAATAAAAGTGCTGATTTACCACCAGCCTATCAAGTACTTTGAGCCGAGGGCACAGTGGCATAAGGAAACAATTAACTTAGTAGCCGTCCATTAACACCCTAATTAACTGAGGTTTCCTTGTTCTTAGTGTAGTTTTACTATGAAGAAAAATATGACCAAATGTGAAAGAAATACTTCAAGGCTAAATGCTCTGCAATACCATCTCCAAATACTTGGGGTGGCATATTGCACCTTTTCTTTCAGAATGAGAGACATGCTTTGTACTATATGACAGGGGTCCCCAACCTTTTGGACCTCAGGGACCACCAAGTTCATAATTTTAAATTTCGTGGATCACTAATACGAATCCAGCGCGCCGCTTGCTGAAGCACCTGGACTCCCAGTGACGGGATGGGGTCCTTCAGGCACTCTCCCTCCTCTCTCTCTCTCTCCCACTCTTTCTCTCTCATTCTCTCTCTCTCTCCCACTCTTTCTCTCTCATTCTCTCTCTCTCCCCCTCTTTCTTTCTCTCTCTCTCCCCTCTTTCTCTTTCCCCCCTTTCTCTCTCCCCCTCTTTCTCTTTCTCTCCCACTCTCTCTCTCATTCTGATTCTCTTTCATTGTCTCTCCCTCGTTCTGATTCTGATTCTCTCTGTCTCATTCTCTCATTCTGTCTCTTTCTCTCTCTCTCATTCTGTTTCATTCTTTCTCTCTCTTTCATTCTTTCTCTCTCTCTGTCTCATTCTGATTCTCTTTCTCTCATTCTCTCTTTCATTCTTTGTCTCTTTCTCTCTCTCTCTCTCATTCTCTCTCTCTCTCATCTCATGGGCCAGCCAGCGTCTTGGGGCTCAGAGGAAGTCAAGCATCTCCCTGAGTGACCGAGGTGCACGGAGCACCAACAACGGCCGGAAGAAGTGTGGGACCGAAGCACTACTTGAACTTGCGCGGCATGAGCATTCGCCTTGGTATATTTGCGCCAGCCGGTGGCGCAAGGCAGCCCTCATCTCCTGCCGCTTCGGACTCGGAGCGGTAAATGGTGACTGATCCGGGGAGCAGCCGGATTTTGCTCTCCATTGCGGATGCCAGATCGGCCCCCTGCAAGCTCTCATCTCTGGAGGAGCACTCCCTGAAACGGCGCTGGAAACTTTGATCAGGCTCCTCGAAAGAAACAAGAGCTTGCAGAGGGCCGATCTGGCGTCTGCAATAGAGAGCAAAATCTAGCTTCTTCTCTCTGCTGTAAGTGCAGCATCAGGATTCCGCCTTGGTATATTTGCGGCGCAAGGCAGCCCTCGTTTCCTGCCGCTTGGGACTCGGAGCGGTAAACAACGTATGGTTCGAGGAGCAGCCGGATTTTGCTCTCCATTGCAGACACCAGATTGGCTCCCTGCAAGCTCTCATCTCTCGAGGAGCCCGACCAAAGTTTCCAGCAGTGCTTCAGGGAGCGCTCCTTGAGAGACGAGAGGTTGCAGGAGGCCGATCTGGCATCCGCAATGGAGAGCAAAACCCGGCTGCTCCTCGAACCAGACGTTGTTTACCGCTCCGAGTCCCAAGCGGCAGGAAACAAGGGCTGCTTTGCGCCACTGGCTGGCGCAAATATACCGAGGCAGAATGCTGTTGCCGTGCAAATGAAAGTAGTGCTTCGCTCCTGCAGCTTCCAGCCATCGCAAACACCGCTTCTTCCCGCTTGTGCCGCCCCTCCCCCACCGCCACAACAGCACTATTCATTCCAGACAGTGAGGGCTCCTTTTTCCATATTGCACCATCTGCAAAAATGCAAAAATACAAAAATTTATCCGCGGACCACCAAAATTTTCTTGCACACCACCAGTGGTCCGTGGACCACCGGTTGGTGACCACTGCTATATTAGATGTGTTGTCTCAGAAGTTTGCCCTTCCTAATTTTGTTGCTTTAAGGCCAAACTGAATGCAATCTGACAACAATATAAACATTACTGGGGTTTCTGCCTCTTCATAGCAGCTGGTATATTACTAGTATGTAGCAATATACCAGCTCTTTCCTCCTTGGTGGCTTACAATATAGGTTGGGATATTCCATGTGACATGTAAAATACCTGGCTACATCCACCTTCTCCGGCTCGACAACCAAACTATCAAACCGCCCAATGGTCAACTACTTTAGAAAGCATATGTATTAGCTCCTTCATGAAAGCATGCCACTTTGTGCGACTCATTTAACGTGAAGCCCGTAACAGAAATAACTGCGCAAGTTTCAGAGCTATCCTAAACAGCAGAAACGAAGCGCCTGCAAAGGCAGCAGAAAACAAACAACAACGCTCGTCCATTTTGCAAAGCAAAAAGTCAAGCGGAGGAAGGAGTTGTCTGTGGCTGTCTAATACATTAAGACTCCCGTCTAATGCCGATACCACATACTACTACTTCTTCGGGTAATAGCCCCGAATCTCTCACGGAACCCTGTAACATTTCATACTCCAAAACGGTACTTCCACCCTAGCCGTTCGCTACGGTACCTGGCGAAGAAATCGAAAAACAGCGAGGCACAACCTACGCTCATCCTCTGAGGCGCGCTGAATACCGGAACCAATGTAACGGGGGAGAAGGAGTAACCATCGTCCCTGCGAGAGGATTGGCTCCTACCAACAATTTTCTCTAATCAGAGAAAATATACTCCCGGATGGTCCGCCTACGAGTCTTTCTCGCCCAATAAAAAGTGAAGATGACCCACTTTGTAGACGGTGCTCTGCCTTCAGTCACCTGATAGCGCTGTGCTCTAATGAAAAAGAGGTAAAAGAATCTATGTCATTATCCATCACGGGACCCTCACGTGCCTCTTTTATTACAGTCGTTTGCCGGGGGCGGGATCTAGGAGAGGGATTTAGTTTTAAGGTCTTATTCGTCTGGCACTGAGATTTTTGGAACGCTTGTGGGTGTCTTAAGTTTCCTTTTTGCCCTGACCACGAAGTATTGAATGGCCGTGAGAAACTGACCCTGGGAAAGGAGTGGCCGGATAGCTTCTCCAGCGAGCAAGTTGACTCTTTTGTTGACGTAGAGCCGTCATCTTTAGATACATTTTCCCTGAGACCAAAAAGTTAAGTGTCAGCTCGGCAGGGCTTTTGGTTAGAAGACTGGAGCTTTTTTTCTCTGTTTTTAAAAGTTTATGGTGACATTGCAGTCTCATTTGTCCTACATATGCAGGGAGGGTTTATCATCAGTAAGTTGGCAAGTCTTGGACTGTTATAGATTGGAGATAGATGAGTCATATCCCTCCCCCTCAGTTAAGAGAGGGCTCTTCAATTTTGACATAAATGGCCTCTTTAACCCCTCTTTCAAACCAGCGATACTCTCTGTCCAAAATATGGACTTAGTTGTCTTCAAAAGAGTGGCCTGTGTCTTTTAAATGCAGATGGACTGTTGAATCTAGTCCTGATGTGTTGTTCTCCTATGTTGTGCCATGCATTTATGAAGTGGGTGTTTCATTTCCCCAATGTACAGATCTGCACATGACTCACTGCATTTTACTGTTGCTCAGTTTCTGTCTGGGTGTTTTATCCTTGGCGTGGACAAGCCTCTGCCTTAGTGTATTCTTGGGTTTCATATGTTATGTTGGCTGCCGATCCTCGTGAGTTTTTCCCATATGCCTGAAAAGCTTATTTCATAAACGCACTGGTCACACCCATTCTCGGTTTAACAAAGGGGGGAAAAGTCATGATACGTAACGTGATGCTGCCGTGATGATGTGAGTCAGAGCCGAAGAAGCATCTTGGATAAGAAACGTCTTCAAAGAAAAACTGGAAGTCCAGTTGCCTCTTGAGGAAAAAAAAGGCACCTTTATCTTGCCATAGAATATAATATCAATATATGCTCAAGGCAAGAGTCCTTATACCATTCCAGACAAATGAATGTCCAATCTTTTCTTGAAAACTTCCAGTGAGGGAGCTTCCACAACTCCAAGAGACAAGCTGTTCCATTAGATGTTCTGACTGTCAGGAAGTTCCAGGTTGGATATTCTTTAACCAGCTTCTACCCTTTGCTTCCTGGACTGCCCTCAGTTGCTTTGGAGAATAAGTGAACCCCCTTAACTCTGTGACTTCCCAACTATTCGAAGGCTATCATGTTGCCTTTTTCTTTGTTAATCTAAAGATAGCTTGTTCCCTTAACTGTTCATTGAATGGCTCCAGATTTTTATATTCTTTGTTGCTCTTCTTTGCACTTTTTATAGGGTCTCAGTATCTTTTTGGTATTATAGTGACCAGAACTGGACACAGTATTCCAAGTGTAGCCCCACTAATGCTGCATAGGTGGGACTATCACTTCTTGTGATCTTGATGCTATCTATTGATGTAGCCTAGAATTACATTGGTTTTTTTGACAGCTGTAGCACACTGTGCTAGTCCACCCACTGTGGTGCACTTTGGATAGCACATGAGGGTGAACTGAACAGACTAGCATCTTGGTGACCAGAATTAGATGCAATATTACAAGTGTGTTCTAACCAGTGCAGTATAAAGCATTGTGGATGCATTAGTTTTTTTGGCAGCAGCAGCACACTGTTAGTTTGGCTCCATCACACTACTGGTTCATGTTCAATTTAAAAACATCCTTTTCACATGAACTACTGATAAGCCGGGTAGCCATTCTATACGTGCCTTTCAAATGTTCTCCCCAAATGTAATATGTTACTTTTATCTCTGTTAAACTTCATACTGTTTGTTTTGGCCCATTGTTCAAGCTTTTCAAGACTTTTGGAATGTCCTCTCTTCTTATGAAATATTTGTTCAACCTCTTAATCTAAAAACATTGAAAAGACAGGCCTCTGCTCTGCAGCATTGCACCTGAAATTACTCTTTAAGCGGATATGGACATCATATATAGATAATCCATTTACAACCTTTCATTTAGTGACCATTTGAAGTTATGATGGCACTGAAAAAAGCGATTTATGAACATTTTTCACCCTTTCACATGGTCACATAATCAAAATTTGGACACTTGGCAACTCTCTCATATTTATGATGGTTATAGTGTCCCGGGGTCATGTGATCACCTTTTGTGACATTCTGACAAGCAATGTCAATGGGGAAACCAGATTCACTTAACAACCATGTTACTGAAGTGATTTACTTAATAACTGTGGAAGAAAGGTCATAAAATGTGGCAAAATTCATTTTAACAACTGTCTCACTTAGCAACAGAAATTTTCAGCTCAATTGTGGCTGTAAGTCAGGAACTACCTGTACAGAGAACATATTCTTTGTATATGGTGTCCAACCTTCAATTTTCAGTGCTAATTCCTTTTCTCTTGTGAGTTACACTGAATGAAACAGCATTTATTTAGTCTTTTGACTGTTCTTTGTATTTTGAATACATAAAGATAAATACAAAAACTTAGTGAAATTGGGAAAGTAATTTTAATTGTTCAGTTTCAATTTTTTATCTGAAAAATGATGAATGTGAGGAAGTTAAACATTTTGAAATCCAGATAATTTCAGAGGGAGATTGAATATGTGTTGAAATCAGTGATTTCAGTTTTGGGCTGAGCTTGTCCATAGCTCCAAAGTAAAATTTTCCGCTGAATACAGTTTATTTTACATATGAATTTAACTCAAAACTTTAGAAGAGTTTGAGTTCTTAGTTCTAAAATGGAAATGCCTTCAGATAGTTTCGCAGTAACGCTTTTGCTTAAAAAGAACTGTACTGACATCTACTGGTTAATACATGTAACATGGGTCTTTTTCATATGGAGCTTGGATTCAGAGGCAATTCAGGATCAAAGAGCAGTAAATCCCCAGTTAAAAGTGTTAGAAGTGTGACTTCAGCTGCACTGACCTTTTGGATTGTTGGAAGAAAAACCCGTCCAGTTCCAAGCTGGGGAAAAAATGCTGGAAATAAAATGGCTACAAGGAAAGAAGGTCTCTATTTACTTTGTTTCTAGAAATTTCAGTGACAGCAGCATGTTTCTGGGGTGGCTGACCAATTGGCTGGGTGAGAGGATGGATTTTTTTCCAGAACACTGCTACTACACTCCAGCATAGGTTTCTACATATATGCACGCTTTCTACATATATGCACTTTACCAGCTTTCCACACATATGCACTTTACCAGCGAGGGGACTTTACCAGCGAGGGGACCTTACCATCGGTCTTTACCACCGGACAAAACGCCGTGAGAGGGCGACTTTTGGACCTGACCCCTGGACGCTGTCTATATGCACCGGTTCATTGCTGCCACCCCACCACAAGAGGGGGTTGTCCAGCTGACCTAACCACCGTGAGAGGGTGGTTAGATCTATTTCCCCCTTGGAACTGTGGTCGTCCTGGCTTTGGACTATGTCCTCTGTTGTGAGGGGACAGGGGACTTGGTCCTGCAAATATGTCTCTGAGATCCCCCATTCTTTTATCTTCTCCTCGGTCCTTTATATACACCCTCAGGATATGGTCGTGTTACCCATTATGATTAATGTACTCAGCAGCGGAGCTTCTTGGTCTGCGAGACTCCCCCCTCTCGCAGGCTTGGCCCTCCATTCTATCGAGGGCCTACCTCGATGACGGGCTCTGGAGTCCCGAGAGGTGGCATGCCGCAAAGAGGGGGCTGCGGGGTTTTTTAAAATTGTCCTTGTTTAAACTTTTAAGGGGTTCTGGGAGGGGGGAGGGGGGCGGGATTGGAATTAGGATTGTGGGTTTGGGGGATAACCCACTAGGGGGAGAGTCGGGCTTGGCCAGGACGTTCGGCGGGGGTGGTGGGGGATCCGGAGGGGGTCGAGCTGGTCCAGACTATGCTTTTACCATTGGTACTGTGTGTGGGAGGGGTAGATATGGCGGGAGCAGGGGGCCATATCATGTTAAGGGAGCACGCACCCGCTGTCTTCAAGCGGTAGAGTGCTCCGGCCCCCAAGGCTCCACCCGTTCTCCAGGTAGTACAGACCTTCAGGGCCCGGGCCTTCGTCTGATGTTGTGCAACGCCAGGTCTGTAGTAAATAAAGCCCCCCTCATCTGTGATCTTGTTTACGAGGGGGGAGCGGACCTGGCGGGTATTACGGAGACCTGGTTGGGCCCAGAGGGAGGGGTCCCTCTGGTAGAAATGTGCCCACCAGGTTTCCACGCATTCCATCAGCCAAGGTCACAGGGGAGGGGTGGGGGAGTAGCGGTTATTATTAGAGAAGGCCTTAGGCCGAGGGAGACCACTGTTCCTCAGACGGCCGGTTGTGAGTCCCTCCTTGTGAAGTGGGGCCACGGGGTTCAGATGGGTTTGCTGATCACGTACCTGGCTCCCTGCCACGTGGCGGCAGCCCTGCCCGAGCTACTCAACGTTATTGCCGCGGTGGCGGTTGATACCCCCAGACTTATGGTCATGGGGGATTTCAACCTGCCATCCGTGGGTGAGGCGTCTGAGGTGGCTCGGGAGTTCATGGCTTCCATGACGGCCATGGACCTGACCCAACTAATTCATGGCCCTACGCACACTGGGGGAAACACACTGGACTTGGTTTTTGTCTCTGGACAGTGGTTGAGTGATCTCGAGATAGGGGATATAGTCATCGAGCCCTTGTCATGGTCAGATCACTCGCTCCTTCGCCTTGACCTTCGAACCGCAGCACCCCACCGCAGGGAGGCGGAACCGGTAAGATGGTACCGCCCCAGGCGCCTGATGGAACCTGATAGGTTCCAGATGGAACTTGGGCCAATCCCGGAGGTTCTGGCTCACGCCTCATCTGGGGACCTAGTGGCCGCCTGGGATAGGGAGGCTGCTGGAGCCCTGGATCGAGTCGTGCCTTTGCGGCCTCTGA